GGGGAGGGAGACAACTGGGGGAGAGGGAGACACCTGAAGGGAGGGAGTCACCTGGGGGGGAAGAAGACACCTGAGGGGAGGGAGACACCTGGGGAGTAAGTGAGTCACCTGGGGGGAGGGAGTCACCTGAGGGGAGGGAGACACCTGGGGGGAGGGAGACACCTGGGGGGGAGGGAGACACCTGGGGAGTAAGTGAGTCACCTGGGGTAAGTGAGTCACCTGGGGAAAGTGAGACACCTGAGGAGAGGGAGACACCTGGGGGGAGGGAGTCACCTGAGGGGAGGGAGACACATGGGAGGAGGCAGACACCTGGGGGCAGGGAGACACCTGAGGGGGAAATGAGGTACCTGGGGAGAGGAATGAGGCCCCTGGGGGCAGTGAGACACCTGGGGTTGGGGAAGTGAGGACATCTTTTTGGAGGAGAGTGTGCAAGGATACCCTCTGGGCCTGGCACCATTTAAAGTCCATTCATCACACTCCCTGAATCCTGTAACTTCTATGAGGTGGGTGCTGGTATGCTCCCAAGACTTAGAGGGGACCCTCAGACTCAGGGGGGCTATTTGGGCTTTGGGCTGTGCCCCCCCCACCCTGCTGACCCGGGCCCAGTTGACTCACCCTGAACAACAGCAGCGTCCCAGGCACCACCGCACAAAACAACAGGATGATGCCCTCTGCTGTGATGATGCGGTTCTTGGTGCCCTCCCCCATGTCCAGGAAGGGCCTGGGGAGGGGCTCTGGGAGGAGAAGTACTGCTCAGAGCCCTGGCCCCCATGAGCCCCTCCCAGCAAGGCCCCACTGGGCGGATAAGAACACCTGTCCCTGTGTCCCTGTTTCTGAGCCGACCCCAGCCTGTGCTGAAGGACTGGCTCTGCCCCCCCCCCTTCTCAGGTGAGGAAGCCCAGTGTCCCCATAGGAGAGTGGTCTCTGTGGCACCAGGACACGGGGGTCACTCACCGCGCACGCGGAGGTAGGTGCCGCAGGAGCGTCGTACTTTCCCACCGTCCTCCACCTGGCACTGGTATATGCCCCCATGGCTCTTGTTCACCTGTGCGATTTTGAGCTCCCCCTCGGAGCCCAGGCCCAAGCCCAGGAACATGGGAGGCCACGAGTAGTTGCCGTGGAGGACAAGCCACCATGTCACGTTGGGGCTGCTGCCATTGTGTGGGCACAGCAGGCGGGCCTCATCCCCCACGCTCACCGTCACAGAAGGTGGGCCCCAGTCCACCCACAGGGCCTGGATCCCAGGCCCTGCAAAGAGGAGAGACTGGGTCAGAGACAGGCCAGGACAAAGGTTCCCAGGCCAAGGCCTTGGCGTACAACCCTCCTGGGTGAGTGGGGAGGAGTGGGAGGCCCCCCTGGGGGACAGAGGACACCCCTGGGGAAAGGAAGACACTGCTAGGGGGAGGGAAGACACCCCTGGGGGACAGAGGACACCCCTGAGGGACAGAGGACACCCCTGGGGAAAGGAGGACACTGCTAGGGGGAGGGAAGACACCCCTGGGGGACAGAGGATACCCCTGGGGGACAGAGGACACCCCTGGGGGGAATGATGACACTGCTTGGGGGGAGGGAGGACATCCCTGAGGGGAGGGGGACACCCCTGGGGGACAGAGGACACCCCTGGGGGGAATGACAACACTGCTAGGAGGGAGGGAGGACACTGCTGAGGGGAGGGGGACCCTTCTCTCTTCCCCAGCTCCATCTCTTATCCCCCTCCCCACACCCCACTTTATACTTGGACCTCAAATAACTCTCTGGCTTTGGGATGTTTTCCTCCTTAGCACTGGAAGTGTCCCTGTCCACATAAACCAAGAAAACCCCCATGGTCCTGGAGTCAATTCCAACTCACAGCACCCCAAAGGGCAGAGTAGAACTGCCCCCAAAGTTTTTTTTTTTTTTTTTCCAAGGCTGTCAATCTTTACGGAAGCAGATTGCCCAATCTTTCTTCCACAGAGGGCTGGTGGGTTCAAACCACTGACCTTTTGGTTAGCAGCCAAATGCCTTAACCACTACGCCACCAGAGCTCCTTCCTACCCCCATAGCTCCTTCCCAAATTGATTGTGCACTGAGACCTGGGGGCCTTTCCTGTATCTACTTTCCCACTTCACCCCCTTCTCCCTGTAATCTTCACAGGGCCCTTGCAAGTCAAGTCCCATCATCTACCTGGGGTCCAGGCATGAGTTCAGTCTTTGGGCTGGCTTGGGGTCTGGGGTCACCTCCAGATGGTTGGCGTGAGGGAGACAGGGTAGGCCTGCAGCTGGCTGTGGGCTGTGGCTGTCTGGCTGTCGTATCTGGGCAACGTGCCCACCACACACACATACACACACTCAGCTTCCCCGCTAGTCCTCACCACCAGCCACCAGCTGCTCTATCTTGAAGAGGCAGGAGGTGGGGCGAAGTGAAGGAGGAAGAGGTGCGGAAAGAGGCCAACCTCAGGGTCACGGGCCTAAGACCCAGGCAGAAGTGGGCTTCACTCCTGCAGCCCGGTGTGACCTTCTCTGAGCCCCTCAATCAAATTCAGTGGTTGAAGCTCCTGCCCACTGGAGGGAGAGGAGGGGCAGGAAGGAGCCCCACCCCCTGCCCCCCAACCCACTTCCCACACAGAGGAGTGGCTGGGATGCAAAGTGAAACAGGAGAGAGCTTTTCCTCCCCTTGAACCTGAGCTCTGCTCTCAAGGCCTCTCTTTTCCTTCTAGCCCCCAGTCTCAGCTGGGCCTTACTTCCTTATTTTGACCTGTGTGGACAAAGGAGTGGGGAAGGAGGCTCTCCCTCCGGCCTCCTTCCTCCTCGGGGCTGTGGACACCCCCTCACCTTCACTGAGGGCCTCCCAGACTCACCATAGCCCTGGCCTGGACTGTGGGACCCAACCCAACCCATTGCCAACAAGTGGATTCCCAATTCTGACCCATACAGCCCTATAGGACAGAGTAGAACTGCCCCCTAGGATTTCCAAGGCTATAAATCTTTACAAAACTGTCACATCTTCCTCCTCCTCCTCCTCCGAGCTGCTGGTGGGTTCAAACAGCCAACTTTTGGTTAGCAGCCCAGTGCTTTAACCACTATGCCACCAGGGCTCTTGGACAGACAGACAGACACAAAATTCCACTAGGGCCCTTCCGCTGCTCCCTCCTCCCTCTGGGTCTCCTCTCTATTCTCCCAGAGCACCCTTCCCTCTGCCTGTGCCCCTCTCCCCAGCCTCCCTGGGAGCCCTGAGCACCCGCCCTGGCCCTCGGCCACATACCCAGCCCAGTGGCAGAGAGCAAGAGGAAGAAGATGGTGGCAGGCGGAGCTCGGACGACCCCTGGAACACGGGGCATCTTCTCCCAGTGGGTTCCTCTGGTGTCAGCGGTCCTGGGGTATCAGAGCCCACCTCAGCCTGGCTCCAAACTCCACGCTCCACCCACTTCCTGCCCAGCCCCGCAGGAGATGGGCTCCACTGGCCCCCATTGCAGGCATCTGGTTGTCTGGCCCGGGACAGCCCCAGCCAGGGTGCATGTCAGGCTGTGAAGGGAAAGGAACCGATCCCTGCACCTGTGGCCACAATTCCCCTGAGGGGAGGCAGCTTGGGTGGGGGAAGGCCTGGCTCTCGTCACTGTCTTTCAAGAGCCTTGGGAGGAAACCAGAGGTCTGGGTGGCTGCTTCAGTGTGGGGGTTCCGAGCTTGGTCTCTGCCACTTGCTGACCTTGGGCAAACCTTGGACCCTCTCTGAACCTCAGTCTCCTCACTTCTTAGGTTTAGATGAGGATTTCAAGGGACTGTGTGTTGTTCCGTGCCGTGCAGTCGGCCCAACACATGGTGACCCCATGCAGGACAGGATGACACGCTGCCTGGTCTGTGCCACCTCCAGGTCAGTGGTGGATTGCACCATTGTGATCCACAGGTTTTTATTATTTTTTTTTAAATTAATTAATGAGAAGTTTTATTTAATGAATTGTTGTTCAGTGCTGTGGAGTGACCCTGTGTACCAACAGAACCAAACACTGCCCTGTCCTGTGCCAGCCTCACAATCACTGCCACACTTGTGCCCATCATTGCAGCCACTGTGTCAATCCATCTATTGAGGGTCTTCCCCTTTCGACAGAGGACACAACGGTCCTGGCGCACTAAATCGAAAAAACAAACCCATCACCCTCCAGTTGCTTCTGACTCCATGCAACCTCGTAGGACAGAGTAGAACTGCCTTATAGGGTTTCCAAGGCTGTAAAACTTCATGGAAACAGACTGCCACATCTTTCTCCCTTAGAGCGCTGGTGGGTTGGAACCGCTGACCTTTCCGTTTGCAGGTGAGTGCTATGACCACTGTGCCACCAGGGCTACCACCATATGCACAGTTAGTGGAATAAAGAATGCCAGAATAAGATTGCAAAGTTGGGTACAACACTGGTTAATGTCCTGCAAAACAGTAACTCTCTAACCTTTGACATTTACTTTTTCTACCAGATACAAATTATTTGCAATTTACCAATTTCCTACAAGTTAACACCTAAATTTAGAGCCCTGCTCATAGTAACAGTCAAACAGAGCTGTTCTACCTGCAGTGTCTGATGGTCATTGAGCCCCAGGTGTTCACGGGCTGATCGTCAGGAGTTGGTAACCAGGCCTCTCTGCCTAATCTTAGTCTCGAAGCGCCACTGAAACCTGGTCAGCACCCAGGCACACGAGTCTTCACTGACAGACAGGCGATGGCTGTGCGTGAGGTGTGCTGGTCAGGAACGAAGCCGGGTCTCCTGTGAGGAAGGCAAGAATTCCCCACTGACCCCCGATGTCTTCTTGACATGGAGCAGGTGCCCATTTAAATGTTAGTCAATATCAGTGCTCCTGAGGAATAAATAAGGCAGGGAGACCAGTCACCAACTAGTTGCATGATTAAGGGTTGCTACGATTTTTTTTTTTTTAAATTGTGATTTGGGTGGAAGTTTACAGAGCAAACTCATTTTCCATTCAATAGTTCATACACATTTTGCTTCAATACACGGACTCAGTCCCCACGATGTAACAGCTCTCTCTCTTCCCACTTCCTCCCTGGGGTTACCTTCTCCCTGTGGGGTCACTGTGAGTTGGAATCCACTCAATGGCAGTGGGTTTGGTTTTGGTTTTCCCTTCTCTGAGCCTTGGGCATTTGTAATCCATGAAATAGGGGTGGGATATCCTCTGGGCGTCATGGGATGAAATGTTCCTGGAACCCAGGGAGTTAAAACCATGAGGAGCTCTCGGCACTCTTTTGTTTTGGCCTTCCCACAGCTGGGACTTGAGATGGTGGGCCGCCCTCACCCCCAGATTTTACGGAAGAGTAAACGGAGGCACAGAGGCGGTGTCACTTGTCTGGTGCCATAGACTCAGGGAGAGGCGGAGCAGGGATTCAAAGTCGCTTCTGTGTGACTCTCAGGTTCCTTTGTGACCATGATTTTAGATCAGGCAGGAGGGAAACTAAGCTCAGATGCTAACTGAGAGGTCAGTGGTTCAAATCCACCACCTGCTTCCCAGGAGAAAGCTGTAGCAGTTTGCTTCTGTAAAGTTTACAGCCTTGGAAACCCTACGGGGCAGTTCTACTCTGTCCTCTAGGGGCCCTGTGAGTCGGAACCAACTCCACGGCAACAGGTTTTAAAAACACATTTTAAAAAAGCGCAGCTGTCACCCACGCAGAAGACCATGAAGACAAGTCAGAGATTCCAGGGTTTGAATCCCCGCTCTGCCAACTCCATGGCCTTTTGAGCCTCAGTTTCTTCTCCTGTAATACGGATATAATGTTCCCACCTTGTGAGGTGGTAAGGATATTTACAGCACAGTTCCTAGGACAGGGTTAGTTCTCCTTCTCAAGCCAGAGCTCTTCCTCCTCCCTCCAGGGACCCAGGGGTTCTGTTGTGCCCCTTGCGTGTGACTTGGGGCAGGTAGTCAGTCTTTCTGAGCCTCAGTTCCTCCTTACAATCCCCTCTCGGGAGGAAGCCAGGGTCCAGACCTGGCAGCCTCAGAAATTCACCTTCCTTCTTCCCCGTCCTCCAGTGGCTGAACCCGTTTCCAGGCCCTCGACTGCCCCCTAGTGGCGGGAGATGAGTGATTGCCTGCCTCCTGGACTCCGCCGGCCTATCTGGGCATCCCCGACTCCGGCTAACCTAGTGTTCGCCTGATGCTGCGAGAATGACACTTGGTGTCGCGTTCTCATGACAACCCTGGAAAATGTTTTCATTTTTAATGCACAAAAGAGGAAATGGGGCCCATATCGAGGAGACTGGCCCAACGCCATGCCAAGGAGTAATTCTGGCCTCTCCCCATTTCCTTCACTTATGAGCAACAGCTGAGGCTGGAGCTAGGTTACCTGGGTTCAAGTGCACTCCCACCTCTTAGCTACAGTATTGGTCTCACTTGCCATTCCGTCTGGTTCATGGCCACCCTGTGTATGCAGAGAACGGCCCTCCACAGGGTTCTAGAGACTGTGACCTTTTGGAAGCAGATCTGGACGGTTCTGAGGTGCCTCTGAATTGCCAACCTCTAGGCACTTAACCACAGCACACCCAGCAAATCAGTTAATCTGTTAGTTTCCCCAGCTCTAAAATGAATCTCCTGGCACGCAGGGCTGCTGCGTGTTATGAAGTGACGTATTTGCAATGTGCCTGGCACGTCGTAGGCTGTTATGTCGGTGCTGGAAGGCATGACAGCTTCATTCCCTGCTGGGTACAAGAAATCTTTTACCTTTATTCCACTTTAAACATCTCAGACTTAAATTTTGGGACTGCTAAGCAATTGGGTTATCTTGCTGAACCAGCAGAGGTGGAATAAGGTACAGACAGGTGAAGGCAATGCAATTTGAACCCAAAGTTCCTTAGATTTCATACCCCAGGCTTGGCACTGGAGTGAAGTGGGAAGATGGGTTGCATCTGCGCATTCATTTCAGCTGAGGGAAACGGGTCTTCAGTCAAGCCAGTTAGTGTAAGCTCAGCATCTAGGGGTCAGATGCGTGCTCTGATCAGTTTGGACCTCCCACCTCCACCAAGGGCCCAATCAAAGACAAGTTCCCACCCCACCCGCCCCAGGAGCAGAGGTTAAGCCATGAGAAGCCACATGTGGTGACTGGTTAACTTGGCCCTTCATCCTGCCCCAGGGGTCTCAAAGCTGCTTCACATGTCTTCACCTTCACAAGCCCAGCTGGATCGCTCCATCACACAACCCGGCCCAAGGCCACCCCTCGAAGCTATCAAAACCAGCTGAAACCCAAAGTGTAGGCTCTGGTAAGAAAGATGGCACTGAAGGGATCCTGCAAGGGGCCACATGGAGCAGGCCATTTCCTTCAGCCTCCTCCCAGGAAACACTGGGTGTATCCATTCCAACAGGCCCCTTAGAGGTAGGTGTGTTCACAAGTCATAACCCATGCTCCCCCACCTCAAGCCACTGCCTGAACCACCACACTCATTTCCTGAGATGCAATCCCAAAGGCTGGGTATGGACGAGGTGCAGGGGCCCTGCCCGAGTCCCGCCCACAGCTGACATGTTGCACACTCAGGGAGTGGCTGTTGGAGCTGGGGCGCAGGCTTGGCTGGCCCCTTAATACCACAACTACCAGCTGGGCGGAGCCTTGGCCCTCTTTCACAAAGGAAGCAAAGTGCTCCTTCCACACCCACTGCCGGAGCTCCGGAAGAGAGGCAGCCAATCAAGACAGGCCGAGACCACAACTACGAATGAGGCAATTTATTTAACCAGCATCGTTTGTTCTAATGTTTCTTATTGGCAGCTGCCACCTGCGAGAGAAGAAGAGGAACAGTCAGTCGTGGGGTCTCCCAGGGTACTCTGCAACAGTCACTTCTTACACATACCACCACCGGCCACCAGACCTCCTGCCAACCCTGGGTTGTCTCCCATTTTACAGAGGAGTAAACTGAGACCCAAAGAAAGGGAAGGAGCAGTGGAGGGTATTCCAACTTCTCCCCACTGTCCCCTGGAAGAGTGTCTCTCTCCCCTTCCAGGGGGCCTGGCACCTCCCGTTCTGTGTCCCTTGACTGAACACTCACTCCCGAAGCTCCTAGGTGGTCTTGTGTCAATGATACAGAAATAAGGAAGCAACAGGTCCTCTGGGGCCTCTGGTGGGCTAGAGCGGACACACTCTAAGCCAGACTGCGGCTCCACAGGTGGACCAGCTGCGCGCCAGTGAGTGTGTCCACAGACCCGAGTTTCTGGGGCCTGAATTGGGCCCTTCTCCTCAGGATGTCCCCCTCGCCCTCCGCTGATGCTCAGTAAGCATCAGGAATGAGAGGGGAATATCGCAGGTGGCATCTGTTAACACCACCCAGGCAGGGAGGGCTGTTGGAGTCATTCTCTCTTCTGCCCC